ATGATCAAACTGAGTCTATGTATAACCGAAAGAAACAAGAGCAGCCCAAAATCTTTCAAACCATGCTCTAACAGACTGCTTGAGGCCATAAAGCGAATTTCTCAATTTACACACATTTCCTTTCCATACACCCTTGGAGATAAAGACATATAAACCTCATGTAAATTGCCATTTAAAAAGGCATTTTTAACATCTAATTGGTGAAGAGGCTAATCAAAAGTAGCAGCAAGAGATGGCAAAGCTCGAACTGAAGTCATTTTTTCCACAGGGGCAAATGTCTCTAGGTAATCAACACTGTACATCTGAGTATAACCTTTAGCAACCAACCAGGCCTTGAACCTCTCAATAGTGCCATCAGAGTGATACTTGATAGTGAATACCCATTTACAACCAATTGGCTCCTTCCCCTCAGGCAAGTTCACAATGTCCCAGGTATGGTTCTTATGCAAAGCATCTAATTCAGTCATCATAGCATCCCACCATTTAGGTTTAGATAAAGCTTCTAGTACAGACCTAGGGACAACATGTGTAGAAATAGAGGCAAGAAAGGAATAATAGGTTGGGGAAAGAAGGTTGTAGGATAGGTGTTTGGAGATGCAATGGGCTGTATACTTCCTTTTGCCTTTGCGAAGGGCAATAGGAAGATCAAGGTCTGTGAAGGTATCAAAAGGGATAGAGGAGGGCTGACCTGTTATCTTAGTAGTGACGGGAGGTGGAAGAGGCTCAATTGAAGGAGGGTAAACAACTTGCTCACACCTTAATCTTCGTCTTTGGTACCACCGTTGGAGTACAGGATGAGAAGTAAATGTCGGAGGATGAGGCAGAGGAGGAGGGGGAGCTGGAACATGTGAAGGAGACTCGATGGAAGAAGACTCAACAGAAGTAGATGACTCAAGAGGAACTAGAAGAGGAACAACTGGGGACATGGCAAACAATTCATTCGAATGTTCCCCCTCAGGAGAGGTGCCAAAGAAAGAAATAGCCTCTGCAAATGTGACAACCCTAGATACAAGACGGGTGCCACAGATTGGATCAAAACAACAATATCCCTTCTGTGTGGAGGCATACCCTAAGAAAACACACTTGCGTGCTTTAGGCTCAAATTTATGTCTCCGGTGGCTGTGAACATGGACGTAGCAAGTGCACCCAAAAACTTGGAGGGTAGGAGAAAATAACTCCTTAGAAAAGAGAAGGCTAAAGGGGGTTTTGAAACCTAGAACCCGGGACAACATACGGTTGATCAAATATGTAGCTGTAAGGACAACATCCCCCCAAAACTTAACAGGAACATGAGATGCAAAGAGGAGTCTTATTGCCACCTCAACTACATGCCAATTCTTCCTTTCCACCACTCCATTCTATTGTGGAGTGGAGGAACAACTTCATAGGTGTGTTAATCGAGTACCCCAGTAGTCACAACATGAGACACCTGCCTAGGCGTTGCCTTGACAACTATGGTTTCCTGTCTCAGACCACCACCAGTAGTCACTGCATGATTTTCCCAGGTTGAAGGTGGGCCATGTAGTTCATAACAATAGTTAATAGTATGTCCTTCCATACCGCTATGTGTACACCTCCTCGAACCATTACTACATCCTCGGCCACGGGCTCCCCCTGAATCTCAACCTCCAATACAACCACCAGCACAATTATATATGGGTCCATCACCACCACCACCACAACCAGGCTGAACCTCTCGGGCTCCTCCTCCATCTCCATGGCCTCCCCCTCTTGTAACTGCAAACACAGACTTATCTGATATAGTGGAGTTTTCTATAGGTCCAATCGAGATCCTCCAGCGACGGGCGAACATCTCTTCAAGAGAGGGAAGAGCAGATCCTCCTAGTATCAGTGCTCTCACCAGTTCATATTCAGACTTTAACCCTACTAAGAATCTAGTGACATCCAATTGCTCTCTCTGTTGTTGCTGAATCTTGACATCAGATGTAAGGGTGTGATACACATTCAACTCATTCCGAAGATTTCTCATACTAACATAATATTCCTCAAGATTTTGATTACCCAATTGCTGATTAAAATACTCTTGATACAGTTGGTAAACCCTAGTTGTGTTGTCTTGTCCAGAATAAAGCTTCTTTGCATGATCCTAAACCTCCTTGGTTGTATCTAAGAACATAAAGTTCACACTGATCTTGGGTTCTATACTATTCTATAACCATGTCATAATCTGTGCATCCTCTTGCTCCCATTCATCGTACCCTGAGAGTCATCTGAGGGTTTATCTTCCTTCACATGCTTCACTTTCTTCTTAGCTTCCAGAAAAACTTCAACAGATTTAGTCCAAGGCACATAATTCTCACCATTTAGTTTGATAGATGTCATCTGCACATCTGCACATTCAAATAGTCAGAGAGAACCATTACACTAGACTTGCTTTCACTACTGTCTCCCATGGCTGCAAAAAAAAAAAAAAAAATCACTAGTCTGTCACTCCACTTCACTAAAGAGTCACAACACTACACCTCAACAGCTTATTATTGCTAGAGTGCCTACTGTCACAAGTTTCAGCAACAACACTCACTTTTGTTCACCACTTTCAGCAACAACACCACTGCTGTCTTCCACTTTCAGCACCATAAACCACCAAAATACACCTCACGTGCATAGTATTAGGTTCTGCAACACATCGAAATCTATTCCTCCCTAAAACAGTCATGCAACCTACCTATTTTAACCCCCCAAATCAGACTTCTGCTGTCATTCAACTACACCACTGAAACCAGCCCAATTTTGAATCGAATAGAGGGTTTTCTACCAACCGCACAAAACAGCCACAACACCACCCATTGGAGGCATGAAAACCTCCATAACAAAGAAACGATCACTCCTTTTTAGCCTCTCTTTGGAATCTCCTATCGGTTAGTGAGAAACCTGCAAAACCCTAGGAGGATAGGTGCTGAAAAGGAGAAAACTGGGTTGGTCTGAACTGGATTATATTGGCTCTGATACCATGATAAAGTTCAGACCAGTGATATTCTTAAGTTCAAAATAATGAATAGAAATAAATACTGGAGAAAGATTAGGAGAAAGAGAAGAGAAGAGAAGAGAAGAGAAGGGGAGAAAACAAAGTCTGGTTCTATTTATAGCTTTCTAAAACATTGTACAAAGTCTATTGTGCCCTCACTTAAGTGTGGGGCACATCACTTAACTTATGATCTACTTGTAACTACATCGGCATATAAAACGATGTAAATTGACTATACTACCCCTCAACAGCCGACTCTAACAATGGCTTGCATGACAACTTCAGAACGTATTCTTTGTCTATAACCTTAGTTTCTTTGCTTTTGTTAATGATTTTGGAACAAGACAATAATTTAAAAAGGTGTATGCATATGCTTCTTTTATCATTTCATAAAATATCATTCTGCATTTTGCATGTTTTTCAATGACTCCACCGTGTCTATAATTTTTACAATATTCTCATACAACATTTCCGACATTTCTAACATGTTTCTTATGTTTGGATGACCGACATTTCCACCAACACCGGCATTTTAAACCTTGCTCCTTAAGCTGCCTATGTAAGAAATGGCTTTTGCATAATATTGATGAAAATTTTATCTATACTGTAACAAGCTTATATGATACCAAACTCATGCATATAATTTCAACATTACCTACATCATGTGGATCACTCATAATATGAGAACTCAAATGTCTGCATATTAGACTATAGAACAGAAGACATGCAGTTATTATCTGTTACTCCACCTGCTATGAGCTATTGAGTTCCAAATAATGGTTTGCACAACATTACAATGCTTAACATTTTATATAAAAAAAAGACAATTATCCAATGTTGGTCCCAGATATCTGGGGTCTTGGGAGGGGTAGACTGTGTATGTTCCTAAGATTTGGCATTTTTTCAGACTAAGTGGCCACCCTCAGACTCGAAACTATGTTCTTATGTTTGCCAGCCCGAGATTTTACCATTACACCAAGTAATGACCCCTATGCCTAACAATTTAAATATTTACTGTATATAAGGGTACTCTTGTTATATGCAAATATTCTTATTATGAAGTATAAGAATAAGGGCACTCTTGTTATATGCAAATATTTTGGGTTGTCACTTTATTAGTGTTATACCTTTTTTAAATATAAAATCTTCATGTATATCAACTCATCTATAAACAATTCTAGGGAATAAATTGTAATATGTGATTTTTTTTTTCCCAGTTTGTAGGAGTTATTTGTTTTGACCCGTGTATTGTAATGACAACGGTTTATCTATCAATTAAGTAAACAATGAGATTAATTCAGATTTTTGAAGAACATCGAGATTAATTCTAATTGAACAGAAAGCAAGTGAAAGAAAATAGGGAGAGAAGAGAGGAGAATGTGGGAATAAAAAGAAAATAACCACATCTGTTCAGTTGATATTTTTTCTACCTTATCTCTCAGTAATCATGCGGCTGCAGCTGGATATAAATAGATTATTAATAAGTATCTAGTTGCTTCAATTACCCTGTTAAGTAAAAGTTATAAACTAGAGTGTCCTTAATAATTCAAGAGAAATTCCAAACTACGCTGCCACCCATAACTATGTTGATTATATACTCTTTTACATAAAATAGCACGGGATCACTCTAAACGTTCCAACAATTAGTTCTATTTATATTATCTCTTCATGTATATCAACTCATGTAAAAACAATTATATGGAATAAATTCTAAATACGTGAGTGTATCAGTTTGTAAGAGTCAGCTCTTTCGATATTGCCATGTCTCTGTGCCTATGTTTTGTATGTATAGGAAAGGAAAATATGGTAATTTAAGAATTAATTAGGTTTTGTATTCCTATCTGAAGAATAACAGTGATTTAGCTATCAAAGAAGTAAACAGTCCAAATTGGTTATGGCATGAATAGAGGTCCTAAAGTACCAGTACCTGCTTATGAAATTGACTATATCCTATGATTTTGTGGGTTTACATAGTGAATGCAAATTTTCAGTTGATACTCTGGTGTGCATACAGGAACGCCTGCTGCAAGGATGAAGAAAGTTCCAAGTAATATAGTTAAGAAAAGGAGTCGTGAATTGACTTCAATCTTTGAATCCTTCACACCATATCAGGGAATGGAAGGTCAAGTAGAGAAAATATGGATCACTGAAATTGCAACTGATGGAATTCACTTGGTAAGACAATATGCGTGTACCTTTTTCTGGTTGTATTTTATTGCTAAGTGTCAGTAAAGAAACCGTATTTATTCTATAATAGGGGTCCTGGTGAACATCCAAGGAAGTAAAACTGAAAGACTGGGTGGTCAGTCATCATAGGAGATTTTCTACGGTCCTTCTGATTGGAAGAAAGCCAAAAGAGTGAGGGTGGTTTGTATTTAGACTGTTGGCACTAATTCAAGCAGGCATAAGTTTTCCTTGAGGGAGGAATTTGGGTATAGATCTGTGCCACAAAGGAAGGGCATTGGCACAAGGATCTGATAACCTTAAAAGAATGGACCTGGGTAAGTTTAGGTTGTGCATTTCTCCTCATCTTTCCAGCAGTCGATGAACTATAAAACATAGGTTGGAAAGGTGGTGCCAGGAGTGACTGTAGTTCAATCCCTTGTTCATCCACCCTAGGAATAAAATCAGTATGTTGTTCGATTATACCAGATTCCTAGTGTCAAATTCATGACAACCTAAACCATCAATTGTGGTTTAAGTTATGTAATCTGTCCTTTGTTTTTTGTCTTTGCGATATCTATGTTCTTGATGTGCTTTTAAGTTGTTATCTAATCTGTTCTCATGGCATGGCTCAAGGTGGGTCATACCAAGGGATATGTGCAGGTTCTTGTAAATGCTCCTGAAAGCATGCTTGGAACATCAACCAACGTAAAGATAACATCCATTGGGAGGTGGTCAGTGTTTGGTGAAGTGATTGACACTCTTGACCAAATACCAGACACTACATTCAGCGGAATAAAATCCACTGTGGATAAATTTCATCTTTGCTCTGATCTGTACGAGACTTGTGCATGCTCAGGACAGCCAGAGCCATGTGCTTGTGCAGAGCAAAACTGCAAGGAGCAAAATGTTGTGAGAAAAAGCACCAACACAAGGGCTGACAAGTCACTGGAAGAACAAAAGAGTAGGAACCCAATTGGGTGGTTATGTAGGAGGCGAAAGGTTCAGAGGCCAGAATGCATGGTAAATGGACATGCTGTGAAACCTATCGAGAAACAAGTGATGAGGAAAAGATTGGGTGAGCTGGGTGTTATTGATTGGGCTCTACTATTTGGGATACTTGTGAGCTTTTTTACAATTTTAGCCTTGCTTTTAGATCTGACTTTTAGGATGCAGTCGTCCAAATGAAAGAGAATAGTGTATCGTTCACATCCATAAGTTCTTTTAGTGATTAAGCTGCAAATTTTGACCCGTGTATTGTAATGCCATATATTATTTTTTTAAGGAAATGCATAAATTTTGCTTTCATTAGTAAGTGATTTTAGGCATCGATGTTCCTATTTAATTAAAAGCCATGGATTTATCCTATACTTTGGGGGTGGTGACACTCAGGTCGTCAACTTTGAGTGGTTATACCGAACTGTCTATTTGAAAATCCTTTTGTGCAGTCCTGATATTGAATTTGTTGAACTGGTTTGGGAGAATGTTAGATTCTGATGCAAGGTCAGTCTAGTAGAACTCGAAAAAGCCCCTTGTGAAAAGGTCTCACAAAATATATGGAGTTATGGGATTTCTAATGTTTCAAGGCGCACATGCTGCAGGTAACTGAAGGAATGAATACTAATACCCACTTAACGTTTCCCTTCGTTTTCCTTATTTGTTGTGACTTGTGAGAACCCAAAGTCTTTCACTTCTAATTTATGACAGAAGAACTTAGACTGGATTCCTTACTGTTCCATTTTATCTCCAGTTGGTAGGTTGGAACTCAGCTGCTCAATAGGCTGTCTAGTCTAATGTCTGGCTTCAGTCCTAAAGGCGTTGCTCCCAATTCATAAGTTGCAGGCATGCAGCCTTTCATCTCCTTGGTAGCTGACAAGGTTCTAGAGATTCTGGAGTAAAGAGCCACAAAGAATGGTTTCATGCGTGGGGAAGAATATATAAAATATGCGTGTATATGTACAGGAAAAGAGATTCTTTGGTGGGTGGGGGAGTTTATTAAGGCCTATTTGTTTGTTCCGTTGTCTGGTGCTGGTGCTAGTTGGGATTCACATTCTTTCTTACACTTGAGTAGATAATGGTGGGTACAGGCGTACAGCCAATGTTTGATACATAACTAATAAATAACATGGTCTGGACAAAATAGTCTCACACTCTCAAAGAAGCATGTCTGCTTTGGCAGGCAATCTTTTGAAGAAATTGAATGGTACTGAAGGCATCCTGTTCCTGAACCTGGGATGCCGTAAGAGATAAAGCCCCACCAGCACTGCTACCACCTGAAACGGTGTCACATACAGAAACACGGCCAGCATCAAAGAGAAGAAGATGAAAATAGCAGTGGCCCTTGGATCACGCCAACTTAGTATGCCTTGAATCCTTTCCCCCTGTGTTGCCAGGTCCCCAGCCACCGTCTGCACCTTTCCTGCCACGCTACGCAACCTATCATACCTCATCCTCACAATGTCCGGTGGCCGTGAAGTTGGGAAGGTGTCAAATTCTTCGTCTAGCTCATCCGGATGGGCCATGTCTGCCTGTGACAACTTTGTGTCCATGTAAGGTGGGTGCCTTGGCCTAAACCTGTAGTTCCATATACCAATCACAAAGAGGTAGAGAAACACCGTGGGTAGGATCAGTTCTGGGTAGCAAACCAGTATGAAGAAGAGCACATGCACCAGGCAGGACGTCACTGGGTTCCTCCAGTTGCAGATATCATCAAACCATCTGAACACAGCCGTGATTATAGTGAGAAGCGACATTATGCGGTGGAAGTTGGCCTTGCTTCTCCTGAGGCTCCACATGTGGGAATCCACATCAAGCATGTATTCAACAACCTCCCTCCGCAGCGGTGGCTCGGCGCGAGCAAGTCTAGACGCCACTATCTGCATTGCCTGGAAGCGAAGCATGTCTACATGCCGGACTGGAATTGGCTGGACGTAGTGCATCTTGGGAAGCAATGGCTTGGAATAGAGGGTGATCATGTTCACCCAGGCTGTGCATGTGAAGCGCACTGCTAATTGGAGCTCTCCCGTCTTCTTCAGACCACTGGTCTGGAGGGCCAGCAATGGGTAGAAATGGGTGTATATGCGATCAGTCTCCAATGTCGATAGCCGGATTCTTACCTTTCCGATTCTCTGGTCCTTGGCGTCACTGCCTCCATTAATTTGACAGTTATCAAAAACGCCAATGGTGATTACAGTGCAGGGGTCGTGTACCTCCCAAGTGTACTGCTCATTCCATCGAGGCGCCAGACTGTTGAGTTGGGTTCGTGTTCGAATCCACTTATTCCCATACTTGGCAACGCAGTATGCATCGGTTGTTCTGCCGCTTTTGGTCTTCATGGGTAGCAGATTTCTGGCACTCAGAATTCCCAGCTCTAGAATTCCAATACTGGGTTTCCTGAGGTGCTTGGAAGATGGCTGCAGATCACTGCTGTAATGTGTGGACTCATCGAGGACATGGTATCCTGTATCTAAACAGAGTCGGATATGAATCTTGCTAGAGAATTTGACCTCTTTCTTCTTCTCACCCTCTGCAGCAGCTTCTTCACTTGATGATGGTTTCTCAAGGTTGAACCAGCGAGGGTTGGGGAACTTTTGGGGATCAAGTCGTGGTGGGGCAACTGAAACGGGCAGTGCCATCCTTCCCAGGATTTCATCCTTACCAGGCCCGACTCTGTCCTCGACGGTGATGACTAAGAGCTCATCCAATGGCTCGGATGCCACAAACATGAGCTCTTCATTCCAGATTGGATTGACAGAACGCATTTGGGAAGTACGACTCATCCTGAGCTGGTTCCCCAGTTGTACCTTGACGTACGTGTCAGGAGCTCGGCCTTTGTCGGAGGGGACAAGGTCCTGAGCTTCAAGAACAAGCAGTCGGAGATAGAAGAGTTTGGGAGAGAAGTAGACCTGTGATCGAGTGTTGGCAAGCTTCTCAGGATTAATGGAGTGAGCATCAGAGTGCCACGCCTCGGAAAAGCACTCGTCGGCTTGGGTGCCCACCCACACTGCCAGCATGATCTCCCCCTTCACCTTCTCGCCTTTCTTGTCCTCCAATCTGTACCACTGCGGTGCCAATGGGCTGTCCGGCGGGACTCGCAGCGGAACCTCTGTAAGATCGAAGGCGACTCGACCCACAAAGTCATCCTTGCCTATGTCCTTGTCCTTCACCACAATCTCCAGCATGTTTGCCTGAAATTTGTCCTTGGAGAAAGCAAAGATTTGCCTCCATACCGGATTCTGGTTCTTCTCGAAGTGTTTTGTGGACCCTTTGTAGTTGCCCAGCTTCACTTCCACGTACGGGTCGAGGCTCCCTGTTACGTCCATGGCTGGAAGGTCCTTTGCTTTGACGACATTTACATACAAGTAATGCATCTGCTCGACGAGATCGTAGGTGCTTGCAGTCTTGTCGCCACCCCTGTACCCCATACGGGCTGCCACCGACGGGCTTGTCTCCACCAGCCCGAATTCTGGATGTTGTCTCAGGACCTGCATATTCATGGCGGTAGGTGGACCGGCACGGGCATAAGCACTGCTCATTTCTACTGTGACCGGCTTGTCCTTGGGTGGTTGGGACTCAAACGCAAAGCCAGAGAACAATGGCGTCGGACCAGGCATTGGAGCAGGAGCAGGACCGGGAGGGGGAGCACCGCCAGTTGCAGTCCCAATTGAGTAAAAAGTTCTGACTTCCTTTTCCTTCTTTTTCTTCTTCTTTTCATTGCCCTTGCTGTCTTCTTCGAGCTTGTTTGTGTTGAGTTCCTGCAGAGGAGGAGGCTCCACAACACCGGCGGCATTGGATTGTGGAGGTGCAGAGTATGGTGAGTCATGAGCAGCATAGAGTTTGAGAGCGATGTCACCGCGTATATTGGAGAAGATGCCTCTTTTGTCAAGAGGGTAGCGTTGGATGGTGGCTTCAGACTCGGTGTAAGGTACAGAGACGCCGGAAATCCTTACTCGGCCGAGGAAATTCTTGTGATGACCACCACCTTTCCGGTCGTTGTATACGATGACATCAATGATCTTGTTGGGAAGATCATTTGGGTCTGATACATTGAAGACAAGCTTCTCATTCCAGGCCGGACTGAGGTCTTTGGTCTTGGTCTGAGTGCGGTGGCGCTGATCATCAAAGTCTACTTCAACGAAGGGACTGGCCGATCCTTGCCCATCTTTGGGCATGAGGTCGCTGGCGTTCAGAACCTCCACAATCAGCTTTGTCATGGCGATGATTCAGAAGAGATGGGCAGAGGTTCAGGATTAGAATTCGGCCTCAAAGCAGAGATTGAAGTGGAAAGTAGGAATATACAAAGAGAAGAATAGTAAGACTAGGGGAAGGTGGGGGAGGAAAAGGAGATAGGAAGAAGAGTAGGCGGTGGGTGGTGGATGGTTTTTGAGTAAGAAGACAGAATTGCTAGAGTGAGGAGAGAGAGAGAAAGAAGGTTTAGTGAGAGTGAGGTGTCGTTTGGTGGAGGGAGGCTGGGCCCATGCGTCTACATCTCTGATTGAACAAGAGATTCTGGTAACTCAGTGAGAGAGAGAGAGGTGTAAACTGTAGATTACCTTTTGATGGAGAGAGAGAGAGAGCAAAGGCTTTGTTTGTTTATTTATTTTGATTGAGAAGAAATCATCTTCTCCTTGAAACCAATGAATGAACGATTTTAACAGAATTCGGCCTTTTTGACAGAATTCTTCCTTCACAGGGATGTTAAGCTGACCCACAATTAATAGCAGCAGGTGGGGAGTCAACTTTTGAGGCTAAAATAAAAAGTTCAAGTACTGTTTTCTCCTCTTACTCTGACACAATTCACTCAGCCGACACATGGTATTCGGTTGTCCGGAATGAACTTCGAACCCGATCCGATTGAGTGACCCGGATTCAATGTTCCGCTCTAGTGGGTGTTTATTCGGATTATACATTTGAATGATTCAATTTATTAATAACTAATAGGGGTTTGGAATGGGAATTGAAATGGGCTATCCTGATTTCAACTGTTTGGTTGGGTGGAATAGGAATTTCATTCTCATTCTTGCTGGAATGACATTCCCCTATTGAGGGAATGGCCATTTCCTATTCCTCCATTGGAAATGAAATTCTATTCCTGCTGATTTTAATTTCCATTTTCATTCCTGTCTGAACCAAACAGTTTATGGGAATGGACCATTCCAATTCCGATTCTGAAAGATTTTGATTCCGATTCCGATTCCGATTCTGACTACGAACCAAATGGACCCTAAGTTACTTGGCACCTGGGATTATATGCTGAAGATATATGATATTTTGATCATTTTTAGTTTAATTTATTAATGGTATTTAACATTGAAATTTCTCTAATGTATAAGTTTCGGATTCATATTAATATATCCGATTTCAGTCTAAGTATATCCTCTTCGATCATCTATTTGCATCACTATGGATATTATTTTATAAGGTTATGTTTTGTTTGACATAAAATAAGAAAGAAACCACATTTTAAAAGAATTGATTTATCGATGAGAGATATCAAACTTGAAAAAAAAAATGTTGTATACTTAGAGTAAGCAATGTTTTCAAATTGATTCAGACGGTTGGATCATTCGATTCGGGAACTGTCCAGGCAATCAATTCTATTTTACCCCAAATTATTGATATGTTCAAAGGTTTTTGACCATTTTTTATTTTTTTTTAATTTTTTTGCTAGAATAGATCATTCGTTTGAACTGGATGATTGAACTGTAACTTAAAAACCGGTGAATAAAAAGGTTTCTATTTCGGGTTATTTTTTAAAACATTGAGAGTAAGTGCTGTTTTTTTTTTCACAATTTTTAGTATAAGTGGTTTTGATGTTAGTAACATGGCAATATTAAAACATAGGGGAGATTTCTCTCTCTTCTTTTGCCATCCATTTCTCTCTTTTTTTTTTGTTTGATTGCATTTGCACTTATATATGGGGAATTTAAAAAATTGTTTTATGAGGGGATATGGACAAAATAATCTACTTTTATAAAGTTGATCCATTTACTAATGGCTTTTTGTTTTTGTTTTGGTAATGGGTTGATTCATGAGGGTAATTTTCAATCACATTCATAGAGCATTCAAGGTCATAATTTAGACAATAACCGAGTGATCTTAACCATCCATCCAACAAATTAAATGATTGAGTTGAAATTCTGAATGTATGGCTCTGATGTGATAGCAATTAGGCGATGGATTGATGCGATAAACTAACTTCAGACATTTAATGGAAGATCTCTATCGTTGAATATATAGAGAAAGGTGGGCCCCGCAACATGGAAGTATTGGTGTTGTATTGTCAAAGGCCTTTCTTGGAGTTGGGTATTTGGGTAATTCGAGGATTGGTCCCCAAAATGAGAGAATGAGAGAATGAGAGAATGAGAGATGGAATATGTGTGGGGTAGAGGATGGTGCGTGACAGAGCACTGAGAGAAGGCTGTGTGGTTTTGGCTTGATTGGGCTTGACGCTCAGGTGGAGGAGCAACTGAGGATATATACACACCACACTTACCAAATGCTTTTGAGAATTGCTGAACAGATAATAATAAAAATGATAAAAACAGAAAAAATAAAGAATAAAGTAATAAACAAATAATGGATAACTGGTATTTGATAAAAGTAGGCTATGTTTGGTTTGATATAAAATAACATAAAACAGAAAATTGTGGGAAAGCTTTTAATAAATTTCATAATTTTTTTTCCTTCTTTTTCTTAAGGTTTCGTTTGCTTATTTGGGTAGGTACATTTATCCATGTTCTTTTATTTTTTAGGTAAATAGAAAAATAACCATTTTAACCATAAAAAATCTATTATTAAAAGAGAATTTTATCCCATTTAAGTGTTGGCAATTTTTTCTTCTAAATAGGAAAGTTAACTGTCCAATTGAGAGATTGGTATCACTTACTTGGGTATGTGAGATTCAAGGAAAATAAATTTTCTCTGAACCCCACATGAATCTGAAAAAGAAATATTTTCCCCTCTCAAAATCTAAAAATCAAATGAGCCCTAAGGCTATGTTTGATTTGAAGGAAAATGTAAGGAAAGGAAGGGAAAGACAGAAAAATCTATACAATGCTTGTAAAAGTTTCTCAACCTTTTCCTGCATTTTTCATCAAACCAAACATAACCTAAGAGTTAAAAGCATAAAATTCTTTGCTTCTCTCTTATTTTATATCAAACCAAACATGCCCCTTATGCTTTTGAGTTACTTCTTAAAATCAAGTGTTTAAATCTAAAAATCTTAGGATTCTCTTAAACTTACACCGAATACATCTCTATCAAACATTCTCCGGTAAAGACAAACATATTATGAAAATTTACCGCATACCCATAATTATTTCCTTAACTTACAGAGGAAGGAGGCCAAAGTTTGAAACTTATTTAATGTGAGAAACAAATAAGGTGATGATATGTTTGAAATGAGTGAAGAACATAAAAAAACTAGGGAAAAGAAATGAACAATGGGTACTTTTATTATGTAAAAAATAATTAATAAGGTCGATTGGTTGGTCAGCGTGATTTCCTTTTTGTTCAATAAACAAGTGTTAATTGTGCATGAGAACCATTTCTGTCATGATCACTAATAGTGACCCAATAAAAGTATCAAAAGTCAGAATAAATTTAAGAGAATCCCAAAAAAGTGAAGTGAGTCGGCTGGAAACAAAACCTTTTAGGGGATATTCAACAAGAATGTCGGTTTTGCTTTTAAAAATGAAAACAACTGTAGACAAAACAATGCAATTTTACTGCTGTAACAGTTCTTTTAAACAAAACCAATTATCTTGTAGAATACCCCTTAAACAAAATCAGTTATGTTCTCTACTTTTCCCTTTTTTTTTCTACTTTTTCTTTTAGACCAAACACAGCTTTAATGATTTTGTTATGGATCAAACAGTTTGTCCATTTGAACTGTTTTTATATCAAAATAAACTTGAGAGAATGGATAAAATAATTTGTAACATAGATTGGTATTTGTATTTGAGAAAGCTTTGAACAAGTGAACCATTCTAAGAACGGCAGTCCAAAAACCATTTTACTAGGCATTTGACACAGTATTTTACAAGTGTTCCTTTTCTGCTGCTATGTCATGCATGCCACATCAGCAATTAAATGGAATCGGGAAAAAACAGTATTTGGCAAAAAAAAAAGAAGAAACAAAGCTTTTGCAATGATTCTCACAGAAATGTCAAAATTTTGTTTCATGAATTGCGTTGGTGATCCTGAATCGCCCTGGTGACATGGCACATTGAAATTTTAAAAAGCTATCTATTTTTTGAGATGTCACATACTTGTCATTATAAATGTATAATAATATTAAGCCAAATCACTTTAAACACCTAGTCAAAAAAAAAAAAAAAAACAGATGAAACAAATCACTTGTTAATCAGGGACTACTTGTGAAACAGAATGCTTGTGAAACGCTTCGATGCCAAATATCACCATGATTATTGGTTTATGATTCTGATGGTCCAACTGTCTGTTTTGGTTCAAGTCTGACAACACTGCCCAAGGTTTGTACAGGTTTCCCTACAGACCTACTTTTCCCTTCCTTTCCAACCTTTTTCTTCAAATTAAGCAAACACAACCGTAGTGTTCATGTTTTCAAAGGCAAAATAATTTTGTAAAACAATATTTTTGGTAACAGCTGAATTGGCTGAGTGGACAAGCGGTTGAATCTGGATCAGCTAGAAACAAGGCTAGTGTTAAATAAGTCGTTAAGAAATTCATGAACTGCTTAATGGCTGAAATTGAAATTGGATTGTTTATTATCCTTGAATATTTTATTAATTAATTACTTTCGTTTAATAAAGAAAAAATCTATAATGCTGAAAAGACATGATACCAGAAGAGCTTAGACTTTTTGGTACCATAATTGAACCCTTCAATAAAAACAGAGCAATAGATGGTTCAATTCAGCCATTTTAAGCCGTTATCAAACGGCTGAAAGCATAATTCAACCCCTTCTTCACCGACCAAATTAAACCAAAGGTAGTTGGATCTACCAAACTGTCTTACACTTTGTTTGTTTGCAATGCAATCTCATTTGCACTAATACAATCTTAAGGGATTATAAATAAAAAAATGTAATTTACTTTTGTTTTGGTTTTTGCTTGATTTTACTTTAAGTTTTAATGTACTTCATTTACAATACTATCAATCAAAACTAAAGAAAATTTAGAACAAAAATAAATCAGAATTTGCATGAATTGATTTGCACTATCATGTTTCTCTGTAAATGCAAATGAAATTGCATTGCAAATAAACTAGGCCTTATGCTCTTCATTGGTTAGAAATCCTTATCTCAGGGAACATCAAAAAACATCCTGGCCAAGTAAAATAAACTCTTTTTCTTGAAGCCCACAAATGTCTCTGTCTTAGGGGTGGATTCTAGCCAAGCTGAATAGATCTATTTGAGCTTGGCTCATCAAGGTAGTACAAGGCTCGAGTTCGGTTGGTCCATTTTGACAAAAAAATAAAACAATTTTAAAAAAATAAAAAAAACAGTCAAAATCATTCAAATGATTCGAACGATTAACCGGCTGATCAGCGGTTTATTGACTAAAATCAATGATTAACCCAAATGACTCCACCATACTCCAC